TCCTGATACTGTATGTCGGAACAGAATGAATCGGAACGAATGTAGATCAGTGTGCATGGCGCATGCTAGTTTTCAGTTCGGTGGTTTAAAAGGCACCATGACTGTGCAGCTGGTTCCACTTCGGCTGCCTTCTAAGGAGTTCCTGAAGGAGAATGCATTAATCTGTTTTGAACAGGCTTGCGTTGTGTGCAGGACTTCTTTTCTACCATTGCTTAGTCTAGACAGTCCATTTAAACCCAACAGAAAAGAAAATGTCCAGGTGGAGATTGTTTGGAGAGCCTAGCAGTGAGACATTGCACCTGATGTTTATCCATTTCTTTATTCTTCTGTGTGGCTAATAGTCACATTTCCTTTGTTTCTTTATTTTCTTGGAGATATTTAAAAGACTGATCTGTGTTTTGAGGTACACAGCAGGGATGAACTCTGTGCAAGAGCATTGCCACCAAAGTAAATGGGCACTTTCTGTTCTATTTCTTCATTTTAAAACTACTGTCTTCAAGGTTTATAAAATGTGTTTTGTTTCCAGATTTCTATTATAAAGGGAATTTTATGACCTGTCTTCATGAGCTGTTCCTAAATGAAATCCAGGGATGTGGTTCACTGACGCTCTTGTCTATTGTGGTTAATTCTGACAGGACCAGCCAGTTTTGCATTTCTGAGTAATTTTCCTTGATGATAAAGAGAAATGAAAGGGATTGGGGAGGGCTGAGAAGTTCAAGCCATGCCTCAAGGGTAGCAGTCTTTTTAATATAGTGTTAAATGTCTTATTTTGTCTGAACACTTAAATAACAGTATTAACTAAAGATAAGTAGGATTTGACAAATGTAATGCCCCTTTCAGACATTTAAATGTATCCGTTGATTAGTTCATTTGACTCCTGAAGCCTTCTGCATTCATTCTTCTGGAGACCTGAGGTGTACAGCTTTATTCTAGGTCTGTCACTCTGCTGTGAATCCCTGTCTTATCTGCTTGCTTGTCTGGACTTGCACCACCGACAGTCCTTTTGTTAAGTAAAAGCTGGGATCAACTAATATTAGGGGAGCTCAGAGTTCAAAACGGGCAGGGGTGGGGGATATTTAGTATTAAGTTTTTTTTTTTGCCAAGCAGTCTCGGGTTACATAATCTCTTCTGGGTTTTGCATTGACAGGGCATTTGCTCATGTCCCTAAGTTACAATACACATAAATATGGCTTCTAGATTTTTTTAAAACATTTTTATATTTCAAGTTCATGTTATAACTAACGGGCGGCATGGTGGCGCAGGTGTCAGCATTGTTCCTTCTCCGTGCTGGGGCCCCGAGTTCAGTTCCCGACCTGAGGTGCTGTCTGAGTGGAGAGGAGGATGTCCTCCCTGTGTTTGTGTTGCTTTCCTCCAGGCGCTCTGGTTTCCTCCCACAGTCAAAGAACATACCAGGAGGTTAATTAGCTTCTGGGAAAATTTGCACTGGTGGGGGTGTGAGTGTGTTTGTGTCCCTGTGTGCCCTGCGATGGCCTGGCAGCCCTTTGCTTGTGCCCGTTGCTTGCCAGGATAGGCCCCGGCTCTCCTGCATCCCTCTGCTGGATTGAAGCAGTTAGAAGATGGATGAATGGATGAATGGGAGTTAATGTTAACCTGGGATGCCTAACTTCAGAGAAATTTAAGTAGATGCATTGATAATTTGGTAAAGGGGCTGCAGAATTACAATTTAGAAATGGATGTGCCAGCGGTTTTTACTTTTTATAGCGTTTTGAACAACCTATCTTCTGAAAATTACACTAGGGTTAGGTGAATGGTCAGGGTTAGGGTTTTGTCTCTGGAATGTAGTTAATCTACAGTAGAAATTGGCAATATTAATAATAATTTGTACGCTAATATAGTGCTTTCCTGGAAACTCCACTCAAAGCGCTTTACAGGTAATGGGGATCCCCTCCACCACCACCAGTGTGCAGCCCCCACCTGGATGATGTAATGGCAGCCATAGTGCACCAGTACGCTCCCCAGACACCAGCTATCTGTGTGGAAGGGAGCAGAGTGATGAAGCCAATTCATAGATGGGGATTATTAAGAGGCCGTGATTGGTAAAGGCCAGGGGGAAGTTTGGCCAGGACACTGGGGTAACACGCCTACTCTTTTTGAGAAACACCCTTGGATTTTTAATAACCACAGAGACTCAGGACCTCGGTTTTACATTTTAGCCTAAGAACAGTGCCTTTTTACAGTATACGCATTTAAAACTGAGAAAAGGGGGCACTTTACCCAAAGGGTTGTGGGAGCATGGAACAGGCATCTTAGCTCTGTTGTTGAAGTTGATACCATAGCTTCTTTGATAAAATGGCTGTACGAGATCAATTAGCTACATTCTTCTACAAACAGGCCGGTTGGGCCGAATGGCCTTCTTCCTCTTGTAACCTTTCTGATTTTCCTCTTCCCCTGTTCCTGTTGGGCTTCAGGACATCGCACTGATAGTGAACACCTCTTCAGAAGGCTCTGTCTCTGAAGCAGAGCAGCTGGCCAACGCCCTGCCCTCCAAGGAGCTGCTCTCTGCCATGTGTGACGCGATGCTGGAAGCTCTGGGCAACACGGACAGCAGCTACACTGTGGTCCTCACCTGCATCAGGACCATGATGTTCTTAACAGAGCACGACTACGGCTTCTTCCACTTAAAAAAGTAAGACCGGATTTTCAGTCCGGATGTGATTTTTATTTTTAGCCTTGCACAGAACGTAGTGATTGTAGTATTTTTCCAAACAGGCGGAACTGCTGTCCCATCGCCGTGTTTTATTTTACATTATGGCTGGCAAAACCTTAGGGATCCTTTGCAACGCAAGGTGTTATTTGTAGGAGCAAATATTATTGGCAGGAATGTTTAAAAACGAGTGTATTTTGTTGTTAAATCTCTCATTTGTTGTAGAAGAAGGAATATGTTCCTAATGGCTATTGGATTTTGTTATAGAAGAGGTTTGAGGAAGTACTTGAAGTACTTGAGAAAGTAGGCTACAAAGGAACAGGAAAAGGTTCATTCCTCGCTGAAGGGTAAGGAAAAGAGACGCAACGTTTGGGACTCCTGAAGAAGGCTCCACAGCCGATACATTGCGTCTTTTCCTTTCAGCATGGAATAAACCTTTACCTGTATCTTGAATAGAAGTAATGCTTTTTTTCTTTAATTTTTCTTTAATGTGGATTTATTAAGCATACGATGAATGACAGCATCAGGGAACTCCTTTATTCTTGAAGGCACCTTGACTGAAATTCATGTAAAAGAGCTGGAAATGACAATAGTGTATTTGTATTCTGGTAGGCTGTAACCTCCAATTCTCTGCATAATATTCAACAAAAGTAGCTTTACCTGAAATTCAATGAATTACGGCCTGCAGAGATATTGTTTCAGTGCTATGAAAACATGCAAGCTTCCACTTAACTAAATTGTTCCTGCCCAAAAACATTTTTTAAAGCAAGCTTGTGTTATGTTTTAGAATGCGATATATTTCTATCCCTGTGGATAGAAAAAAACAGTGGAGATAAATATAGTTTTGTGGTCCTTACACAAAGATCCCTTGTATATTAACAGTTGAGACATTTTTGCTTATTAGGAATTCATCAACAAACTCAGTAGTGAGGTTAGTTGTGTAAGATTGTTTGTGCTGTGACTATATAAATTGATATTCAGGAGACTTATAGGTGTGTAAAAGTATTTTCTTCCTACATGTTTGCATGTACTAGCAGTTATTTAGCAGTTTCTGTGCCAATTCTGATGAGGGCTTGTAGCAACGCTGTATTAATATACATGATAATGTGGTTGGAGCTGAATGTTTTGCCTGAATGGTTCTTCTGAAGATTATTTCAGTGATTGGTAACATCAGTAACACCATCACTGTGCACTGGTGATTTAGGGGCAGCACTGGAAGTTGCTCCCCTCCTTTTCACTGCTAAGAAGCTAACATAAGGATGCCAAAAGTTTTAAGATCAGAGTTCAGTAATTTACTGTTTTTGTAATGTCTAATCCTCGCAACTGAGCTTTAGACAAGCTCCCACAGCCTCTGTTTTGCCCCTGGGGTGGTGTGGATGAATGGTATGTGCAGTCAAGATAGACTTGTTATTAGTAAAAGAGAGTAAATTGCCTGTAATAATTAATATTTCCTCCTCTTTTCAATATTGTCTTCCTTTTCAGTTAATTTTTATTTATATTTTTAATTAAATTTAGTATTTTGTTTCCTGTGGCAAGATTCAGAAACCTTTCATTTGTGTTCCAGACAGTTGATCAAATTAAACAAAACAAAATTCATGGTCTGATTTAAATTATTTTGTATGGGGAGCCCATTTATAAGAGTTTTACCTCAGTTCTGTTTTGATGACACATTGTTTGATGCTGGATTGAGCTGACTCTGCTTTTTCTTCACTGATCCAGCGCTCTTAAGAAACACAGCACTGCCCTGTGCGGACTGATCAAAAGGGTGATCTTCGCCTTCAACAAGGAGTCTGCTGAGCTGGTGTCCGTTCTGCTGGACTTCCTCAGACAGATCTTAAACACTGACTCGCTGGTAATTTACTGTGGAAATAACATTGTTTCAGCGGTGTAGGGTTCTTCTCAAGATTTTCAGACAATTTCGGAAATGTGTATATTTTAGGATCTAGATGGCAAACAAAATTATCTTTCTCAAATCAAAGTGTGATGGATTTGTTTAATGACCCTTATTTTCTGGTCAGTGCCATTTTATAGTTAAGCAGAGGATTAGAAGTCATTATTTTCAGAAAGCGTCCCCCTGCGTTGTCATGTATGTATGCATGTAGTTTAACAGCAGCTGTTGTGACACTGTGTCTTTGAAGTTTAAATTTGTGTTCTTGGGCGCCTTGTAAAAAAAAAAAACTGCTTCATTGATTTAGAATAGAAGTAGAGCTCCTGGTGAGGGGTGGAGTTCCAAGTTGTTGAGTGCCAGGCAAGGGGTGGGGCTTCTTGTGAGGGGTGGAGTTCCTAGTGATTTGTTGAGAGCCAGGTAAGGGGTGGAGCTCCTGGTGAGTGATGGAGTTCCTAGTGATTTGTTGAGAGCCAGATAAGGGGTGGAGCTCCTGGTGGGGGGTGGGAAACCAGGCAAGGGGTGGAGCACAAGGAGACGGGTGGAGATTCTGGTGAGGGGTGGAGTTCCTAGTTGCCAGTCAAGGGGTGGGGCTTCTTGTGAGGGGTGGAGTTCCTAGTGATTTGTTGAGAGCCAGGTAAGGGGTGGAGCTCCTGGTGAGTGGTGGCGTTCCTAGTGATTTGTTGAGAGCCAGGTAAGGGGTGGAGCTCCAGCTGGGGGATGAGGCGCCAGGCGAGTGGTGGAGCTCCTGGTGTAGTGACTGCTGTGCTGTGCGTATTGTTCAGGGCTGCTGCGGGGATGAAGGCCCAACCCCCATGGATGTTGATGGGAACAGCCCACCCCGCTCGCTGGCTCTCAGTGCTGCCGAGATGAAGCAGCTCCTGCAGTGGAAGGAAGATTCACAGGATCACCTGCTGCATGAGCTGGAGAAAGAAATCACGGTAACCAGAGTCCCTTCAAAGCATTTGTGCCATTGGTTTAGGCCTAATTCATAACACGCATTTGGTAACATCAGCATGATTGTTCATGGTCTTTTCTGCTTGGCAATTTGAAGGAAACGTTAAGGACTGCAAACTAAAAACTAACGACAGATTCTGAACAATCTAGCAGGTAGACAGAATACATTATTCTGTATTTAGTCCTGTACTTCAATCCTTGCATGAAGACATTTAAAGACCTTTCTATTTTTTTTCTTCTGTAATGGTGGAATCAATTTTCTTTTGATGATAGTTATTTTTTATGCTTTTTATTGAAGTTAAGATTAAACGTTTCCTCGTTCAGTTCTGATCACTCAACCACAAAAGTAACAACTGCAGCAAATCCCAATATATAGAGGTGAAACATTTAAATATAATTTCCTAAATAAACATCCTTGATTTTATATGTTCCACATTCGTTTCCGTGTTTCATGTTTTGAAACACTTCCACACTTTTTTAAGTTAAGAATATGTGATCAGTCAAGTAAAATTCAAGTTTATTAGAACCTGTTCTGCATTTCTTTTCTGCCATTGCATTTAAAAATAAAGCTGTGCTGTAACATCCGCTTTTAATTTCTTTTGAAGATGTATCAAAACCTGCACTGATTTCAGTCTGTTCTGATTAAAAATTATTGTTCCTTTAAAACTAATATGTGAAAACATGAGCAGTACATAATGACTAGTATGACACTTATTAGAAGACCTTTTTGATTACCTGCTGTCTGTCTACATATGCTTCTGCTGGGTACATTGCAACAGGTGCAAGGCAGGGTACACCCTGGATGGGAAGCCAGTGCATCACAGGGCACACACGCACACACTCACACCAGGGCCAGTTTTCCTGGAAGCCAATTAACCACACAAACACAGGGAGAACAAAAACTTAACCCAGGGGTCGCATGCTGCCCCTGCTGAGTATGTTTCTTTAAAGTCACTACACACTTTTTTTTACCTCCATTTATCTTCTTGTCACACGCCTTTCATTGCTGATGATAATACTTGAAATTCACAGTTTTTGTCGTTTGCATTTTGATCCTAAACTGAGGCTTTCTCCAGTAGTCCTTACGTATATTTTTTTGGTAAAAAACAGGAATATTCTAAAGACGACGACAACCTTGAGACTTTACTGGAGAATGTGGTTGGACTTAGGCAGACACTGGAAAGCGCTGTCGAATCTACCTCTTCAAACGAGCAAGAGACTGAGCCTAACCTGCCTGCTCCAGAGAGCCTGCCCGTTCAGTTCAATAATAGGTAATGACAAAGGGTCTCGCTGCTTTGTTTAGAGGAATCTTTCAATAGTATTTCCCTTAAAAAAACGAAAGCGTATCTCAGCAAGAAAAGCACAAACAGCAGTCAAAATGTCATCAGTATCGCCTAATTGTGTAACATGCAATGGTCATCATGCTCCTTAGAAAAATGTTTCAGTCATTCCCTCATTTCCCAATTTTTTTTTATTAGATTTGCAAAAGCTAAAAGTACATTTTTTATAGTGGGTTGTCCTTAAATTGGTTTAATGATAACATCGACAGGGCCCAAAAAAGCCTTTCTTATTTGAAAGTTTTCTGTAATCCAAGGTAAATAAGAGCTTAAGAAATATACAGCAACAGCATGCTTTTAGTCTGGTATGATATGGTACCTTATCTTTTCATTTTTGGCACATTTATTTGGTGCTTCTATCTATTCCTCTTATTTGTTTTAAGTTGTGGCTTGTCACACATAATCAGTTTTGTCTTTTGCATTCTGCACGGCTCGTTAGCTAAAAACACCAGAGTGTGGTGGGTTAGTGGAATCTTGGCCTGGTTTCAGTAATCCAGTACACAGTCAGGCATGCATGCTGATGGGATCTGAAGTCAAAGACAGAGAAAGGGGTAAGTCTGAGGGGTTAAACTGACCTCTGTTTCATTTCTAGGACGGTATATGTCCTGTCTGATGTGTTTGATGATCAGCTGAAGGCATTGTGGTTCTCCCCCTTCCAGACAGAAGATATTGACACTGACCTCGACATGGTAAGTCACAGTCTGCCACTCACAGCCTACTGACGTCCGAACAAACATCAGAATATGTGCATCTCACAGGAACATATCAGGAGTCTAGGGATGTTGATGGGTCAAAGACTTGAAGCAGTCATTGCATGTGTGGTGTATGTGACCAAATATTAACTTCACGCTAGTTGAATTTACACTGCTTGTGCTCACCTGAAAGTGGAAGATACAACACAACAAAATGACATTATTCTGATGTAGCTAAATATGTGTACAATATAATAGCCCGAAACAAAAGCTGACCTTTTTTAATTCATCCAGTGCAAAAGTGACCAATTTCACTTCACTGTCCCAATACGTATGCTTTTCCCTGTATATTTTATGCCTTTGTTCATCAGTTCACCAGTGCCACAAAGGCCCTGGTTTTGCAATGAAATACCCGGGTCCACCCAGAATATAGCCTTAACATTCTAGCCACATAACATCATCATCATCATCATCATAATAGTTTTCCTGCATGTAGACAGGGTGATGGCGGGTAATGGGGACTCTGCTCCCCCTCACCTGTGTGCAGTATATCTGAGCCTTGCTGGGAGCTGAAGCCGGCGGTGGGCGTGGCTCTCAGTCTCCTGTCCTGCGGGTGTCAGTCACAGGCACCAGCCCTGCAGGCTGCAGCCACTCAGGAGGAGAAGGATGGCAGATTCTCCTCTTGAATGGCGCAGTGTAAAGAAACAGGCATTTTTTTAATCGATCAACACATCCTGAAAAATTAAAGATTCTTTATAAATTGCAACCAGAACCACATTATTTCTGCCATTATGTTAAATTATTACAGTTTACTATTGCTGTCACTACTGTTAGATGCTATTTGTAAGATAATCCAAACAGAATTGTTTTCATTATTATTATTTCATTTACAATATTACTGTGTAGTTATATAGTACTTTCACAGTGCGGGGAAGCCATTAGAGAGTTTAATTAGGTGAAAAGGTGGAATTTTAGGCATAAAAATACTGAAAACACCTGAGATTTCTTCTTCAGTTTCGGATTTGCTACACCTCTTTATAAGATTCTGAACGTGAAGAAAAAATCAGTCCCAAGTTAGTTTCAGTTCAGTAACTTTTATTCATTGTGAATGTTTACTGATACACAGAAATATGTCTTGTTTAATGCAAATCTTCACTTCAGGGCAGGAGGGAGCTGTTCAGCCCATTTAGCAGTCTGACAGTGAGCTAATTTGATCGAAAGACCTCCTCCATTCCGATCTCGGAAGAAGCCAGGAAATTGGCTTCAACAATATGACTGGGTAGCTGGTAGCTGGTAGCTGGGGTGCTTCCTGCAGTGTGCACTGACTGTACATGTTGGCGCCACCTTTGCCCTCTGTGTTGTGTTTCACTGAAGAAGCCCAAAGGGACTGACTTTGCTGCTGCCTTGGAGGATTTTGATTACTTGGTTCAGTATTCAAGTTTGGATTTGAGGGCAAACAAGTGGGAAATGTATTTCATCCTGCAGCTTTGATAATCTACTGTAACAAATGAAATCTAGACCAAGGGTGGTTATGTAAGAGTGAGAGATTTGATTAATTCATCTACTTTTGCTGATCAGAAATATTTAATGACCATACCGATGACTTCCTTAAAAGGCAGATGATAATAATCCCTGGGTACATGCGAAGATGCAGGATTATTGTAGGTGAGAAAACGCGTATAACCCATGGAGAAGAAGCGAAGATCATTCAGGAGGCTCGAGAGATGACCAATCCAAAGCCGAGAGTTTAGCTAGCTGGGGCCCTTTCTCCCTTGCATGCAATTCAAGACGCTTGGCTAGCTTGTTCAGTGTCGGTGAGCTCAAGTGTGCCGGGCCGTCCTGGCTGAGCTTGGGTGAGTGAAAGAGGCAGTAGGAACCGGGGCTCCTTCAGCGGTGAGTCTTGGGTGCCTTCGCGTCAGGAGGTGCGGACAGAAGTGAGTCCGCTGCTGCAGGAGGGTCTGCTCCTGACTGCTTGCTCTTGCAATGGCGCAGGTGAAGGTGGATTTGGTGGGCCTTTCCGAAGAGTGCTGCCCCGATTTCGACCTGAAGGCGGAGCTGGAGAAGTCCTTCCTGATGGAGCCCTCCTCCCCCGGGCGGACGAAGCCCCCCAAGGGCTTCAAGCTCGGCAAGCACAAACACGAGACCTTCATCACCTCCAGGTATGACCCCGCGAGAGACGCTGCTAACGGAGTGTCGCTTTCTGCTTTCGAAATTGATATGTGATCTTCCGCAAGACTGTCCAATCTGTAAATCTCTCTGCTTCGTGATGTTTTATGTTCTTACACCGTCAGGATGTGTCCAAATCAATTCCAGAGGGTACTGTATGTGACTAGAAAAATACTTGCAATGTGGACACCCATTGCTTTCAGGGTGTGAAGAAAAGCTAAGACTGGAACGACATTCCCACTTAATCTGCTTAAAATTGATCATTCATTTGGATTTCTTGAAATCCTGTTACAGATAACTGTAACAGGAGATTATTAGTGACTCTTTTAACTGTTCAATTCTTCTTTCATTAATAAAAAGTTAAGCAAGTCCTGTTATTGGTGTGCACTGAATGTTGGCACATTTAGCTCAAAGATATCTTGCTCTGGGGCGGCAAAGGTATTGCAGTAGTTAGCATTGCTGCCTTGCAGCACTGTGGTCCTGGGTTCAATTCCAGACGTGGGATTGTATGTTTGCATGCGTTTCCTCCTAGATCTCTGGTTTCCTCCCACAGTCCAAAGAGATGCTGGTGGGTTAATTGGCTTTTGGGGAAAATTGGCCTTTTAGTGTGTGAGTTTGTGTGTGCCCTGCGATGGACTGGCATCCCATCCAGGGTGTACCCTGCCTTGTGCCTTTTGCTTGCTGTGATAGGCTCTGGCTGCCCGGCAACCCTTTATTGGGTAAAAATGTGTTGGTTAGAAGATGCATAGAAGAATATCTTAACACCGATCAGTGGGAGTACGCTTTCAATATCGTGCACTCTCCATGAATATGATTGTCCCCCCCCCTGTAAAAGCCTGATCTTTGGCGAGGCTCTCTTTCCTCACACCTCTCCCCTCTGCCCCCAGCGGGAAGTCCGAGTACATTGAACCCGCCAAGAGGGCCCACATCATGGCCCTCCCGAGGGGCCGAGGCAGGGGGGTCTTCGGGCAGCTGTGCCGGCCGCACGACATCTTCCGGCAGAGGAAGCAGAACACCAGCCGGCCTCCCTCCATGCACGTGGACGACTTTGTGGCCGCGGAGATCAAGGACATCGGGCCGCTCACGGGCCTGCTGCAGGCCAAGAGGACGCCCAAGGGCTCCCCGAAGGTGCCGGCGCGGGGGCTGTTCGCCGGGAGCAGAGGTGGCCGGGGGGCCTTCCACAGCCAGACCCGCTTCTTCACCCCTCCGGCTCCCAAAGGTGAGTTCCTGCCCCGCCTCTGCGCCGCCCCCCACCTCGGAACGGGACAGCGTCGAAACAGACGTGCAGAGGAGTGGGGCTAAGACATGTACACATGGCTCTCTCTCTCTCTTTTTTCTCTCTACTAAGCCTGACCCGTTTTTCTCCATTAAATGACTAAAAGGTCTATATGTGTTGCATACTTGTCTGAGAAATGTGGATGGGTAATTCCTAACACATTCCTAATGACTCTAGACCTCCTGACCCAGCTTTGTTTTACATGTCTTTCTTGGCAAAAGTAGCCTCCGCCAACTCTGAGAACCGCTGGGCCGGTTCATCTAGTTGCCAGCCACGGCACCTGATCGAGCGCAGTATGTGATTGCTGCTGTGGCAGCTGGTTCTCCTTGGCTGATTGATTTAGCCCTACAGGCCTCTGTGTTCCAGGCAATTATAACCGCAGGGAAGGAGGCCGAGGGTCCAGCTGGAGTGCCCAGGTGGCGCCTGTGACGCACAGAGGGACGTACAGTGAGGCCAGGGGTGGCCAGAGCAACTTCGCTAGAGGACCTCTTCCATCTAGGCAGCCCTCAGCAGGTATGCACACTGTCTGTTTCGTCCTTTTCGGAAAGGCTAGGAGTCCTTCTGGTATCTCAGGATCAGTGTTTCGCCTGCTTTAGAGATAGACGGTCTCTGCGCATTTCCAAGCACAACATGGGCATAAGAATATCTGAAGAGGTTTTTCTTAACATCTCTGTTAATCTTGATGTAGCTGGCTAGGCTGTGCGAGGCTGCTGGCCTTTAAGTCTGGGAAATGTGCCTGCAGACTTCTGTGTTGCACCAAAGTATAGGAATATTTTCCTTTTGTGGTCCGATCCCATCTTACAGCTCTGTGATCATCTCCTTGATCCCTGTAACATGCCTTTATAACTGTACATCATTTCATTAGCAGCATTTTAGATTTTTCACGTAAAAGACTGAAAGGTTAAACTGGAATTTGGAAAGGAAACTCCCTTGCAGTTGAAAATATACAGCCACCATGGTCGACAACATTAATAGAAGCTAAGCTTTAAACCAATTCTCTTTGTCCTTCGTGGGAATAATATTTAAATTCACAGGAGTCTCTCTGCACCCTTTGGGAGCAGAGGTAAATAAATTGTGCACGTTATGTAAAAAGAAGACATTGAATCATTATCTTGGAGAATCTTGTAGGCTTTTTTTCCTCGTGACCTTGATTAAAGTAGCCATGTAGGTTTTCCTTCTTCAGAATATTAGACCTTCAACTGTTCTGACATCTTCAATATAAGTCTTCTTAGAAAAACCAAGTTCATTTTTGTCTTTTGAGTAGTGCTTCACGACAGGCGCTCCTTGTTGTGAAGCCACTTCCTGAAGATTTTCAAGTTCACTCTACAGCTTGTCAATAAAGTCGATAAAGCTGTGACCTACTGAACTGCTGCTGGGATAGTTTCTTTTGTCAGAAGTGGTTTGGTTGCCGTTTCCTGTCCAACGTTAGCTTAGTCCCGCAGTTCCTTTCGTTTCTTACAATCTTGGAGCGCTCGAGGCCATCAGGTGCACCCTGCACAGCTGAGACCGGAGGAACCGGACTGGGAGGTGTATTCCAGCACTCGGAGGGAGGGGCAGCCTCCCTGCTCCCACAGTGCAAGCAGTGTCCTGGCCCTTCTTATCTGCAAGGCTGGGACAGTGTTTCTGTATTTCCAATTTGAAAAGCTTGCTGGCCCTTGGGAAAAACACCTAGTCCAGCCAATGCAGCAATTTGGTGACACAAATTTATTTTAATTGGACAGAATGACAGCTGAAGTCACAGAAAGCTTGAAATTTTGTATTTGATAGCCAGATGTTGTGGGTTAAAACACTTTTTAAATTATTTTATTTCCTCAAATTTGCACAGATCAAAAGCTCCCAAATGGGTCTTACCCAGGAGTTGCAAGAGAACTCAAAGACTAGATCTCTCTTTTCTGTAATATGACACCGTTCAGCAAGAACAGTCTCTTGGATGAAGAGTGACACCCAATGGGCAATGTTGTGCTTAACTGTAGAAATAATCTCAACATGTATTGAAGGCTTTGCTCTGAATTTTATCGTTTTTCCTAGCTTCGCACATTTTAATATTAATTCCTTTCACTTATATATCGCTTCTCTGGACACTCCACTCAAAGCGCTTTACAGTTAATGGGGTCTCCCCTCCACCACCACCAGTGTGCAGCCCCCAGCCGGGTGATGCGCCAGTACGCTCCCCACACACCAGCTCTCAGTGGGGAGGAGAACAATAGACGAAGCCAGTTCAGAGAGGGGGATTATTAGGAGGCCATGATTGGTAAAGGCCAGTGGGTGAAATTTGGCCAGTACACCGGGGTAACACCCCTACTCTTTTCGAGAAACACCCTGGGATTTTAATGACCACGGATAGTTAGGACCTCTGTGTTAATTCCGAAAGGAATGCGTCTTTTTTACAATATATTGAGCCCCATGATTTACTCTTAATTTATTTAAAAAAATGTAAAAGTCGACATTTAAAATTAGAATCCGTAGGTTTTGAAGTGTTGTTCAGTTGTGCACGTGTGCTGAAAGAGCTCTAACCATGCTGAGGACTTCTGGCTGTGCCCGGTAGTTCTCAGTGGCTACCCGTGTCGCCCGACAGGTGCCTACCGGCTGGCTCCGCGGGACCGGGCCCCTCGCGGCCGTGGGACAGGCCTGTCGTGGGTGAGCGGCGGAGGAGGGGGGGGCGGCAGCTCCCGGGGGAAGTTCAGCAGCGGGGGCGGCGGGGGCGGCCGCGGGAGGCACGTGCGCTCCTTCACCAGGTAGACTCGGACAAGGGAGGACTGCTCACTGCGGGGAACGGCGAGGCCTCCTGTGGGGACTTGTGCCACTGAAGGACCCAGGCCGATTTCTCTGCGGTGTCCGGAGACATGAAACTCTTACTTGCAGACTTAAATTCCAGTGACGTTTGTGCTTTCCTTTTTTTTTTAAAGATGCGTTGTAATTTCAAATAAAATAATGAAACTAAAGAGTGGTTCTTTCCCCCCCCCCCCCCCGGTTTTTTCGGGATGCGGTACATGACCTCACTTTGAGAAAATACGAGTGGTGAGGGATTGGAAGTGAAAGATCAGTGTCCGAGTCAGTCTGGACCAGTGTGCTGAAACCTGTACACTGGCTCCCAACGAGAGAAGCTGGGCTGTCGTTTACAAGCGGTGCAAGCTGCACACTTAACTGAATGCTGCCAGGGTCAACTGGGCTTTCCAGAAAAGCAACATCTGGGGTGCGGCAGTTTTCAGTGTTGTCACAGAGAGGATCGGCTGTCTTGGAGGAAGTTTGCGTCTTCACGTCCTTCCACCAGGTATCGGATTTTGACGTGTTCCCCCAACCAAACAGTTTGAATGTGAAACGATCAAAAGCATCGATGAAAGCTCTTACAATGGCATTAGATTCTAAAGTGCTTGGTTGTAACTTTTTATCCGACCGACTCTGTTTGGGGATACAGTTACCGTGCGGTGCATCGCGCCATCCAGACCCCTGAGTTTCCAACCAAAAAAAATTCAGATAGGAGCAAGAAATCACTCGTCCTAAACCTGAGTTGGGCCCCAAAATCTAGCGCTGAGCATAAAAATTGTCTTAAGTAGTGTGTGAATGCGAACCCTAAGTGACATGGGGTGTCAAGTGAGCATTTCCGTGATCAATATCTCATCCTCTTTGTGCATCGGATTTTGACATGTCCTCCAACCCAAAAGGTATGAGTGTGGAAAAAAATAAAACCATTGATCAAAACTCTTGCAAGTAACTGAGATTCTATTCTAATGTTTGGTTACAACTTTTGATCCGAGTGACTCCGTTTTGGGATACAATTACCTTGCAGTGCGCCATGACATCCAGGTGACATCCACCCAGACAGTTTCTGAAAAAACTAATTCAGATAGGAGCAAGAAATCTCTTGTCCTAAATCTGACTTGGGCCCCAAAATCAAGTGCTGAGCTTAAAAAGTGTCAAGTAGTGTGTGAATGCTAACCCTAACCCTAGCTGGGGTGTCAACTGACCAGTTCCGTAATCAATAGCTAAAGTCCTCTGGGCATCAGATTTCAAAATAATGTATATAGAATTTGAAAATTCTCAACCTCTTGAGTTATCAGATAAACCAATGTACTGTTGTGCTCAGTCTTTGAATTGGAAATTATTAAGTGAAATGTGAACGAAACCATTTATAGAAATACAGATTTCATGTCCTGTGTAATTAATTCATGACATTAGATTCAGATAACAGAAGTCTTAGCACAACCACACACTCTGAAAGAAATGTTTATATATGGTACACAAACATTTTCTAATAACAGTAATATCAGTATTAATGAAAACTTCTGGGTTAGAAAAGCTACATTATTTAAGTTTAAAAATGTTTTACATAACATTAAACTTTATAATATTTGAGAGAAAAGTAACCTCAAAAACAGCACCAAATATTCCAGGTGTGTACTCTCACACAGCATCTGGAAAGTTAACAGCAGGTTGGTTTTTTCCAGTCCAAAGGCTTTTGGCATCACCAGACTGAATTCAAAACGTGAGACATATTGGTCGCTTGTGCATTAAATTAATACCCTTTTAAAAGCTAAGTTTTAAGTTTCCTTCTAACATGTTGGAGTGCCAGGATTAAACTGATTCAGCAATGGTTGCAACAACCATAAGACACGAAACACTGTAACAGGAACAGAGATGAAAAGGCTCCAGACTGACATGCTGAATAAAAGTGACTATGTTTCCTCTTTTTTTATACATAATGTGCTTCAGTGGTAAATTTGCAGCAAATGACAGTTTTCCTTTGCTTTCCATTCTTAATCACCACAGATAAACCTGTGGAACAAATCTCACCTTGTGATTAGAAAAAGAAAATAAGGAAAAAATCAGAACGACATCTAGTAATAACCACACAAACACAAAACTAATAAAAAACAAAATAATAGGCCATATGGTAGCTTATGGAGACAAAAAGCGATATGACTGACGTGCATTTGCGGGTATTTTCACACCAGCACAATTTCATTATAAAATGCTAAATATTCATTTTAAAACTACATTTAGTTATATTAACTTCAGAAAAGATATTTTTTTCTAAAGGCCTCTGAAATAAAGTATTAGTGGAATGACGCAGGTGGCATCTTTGCATTTGAAATGTTCCTTAGCTGGTTACAGTAAGCGTGGTCATCCATCGTCGATAAGCTTTTTCAAAGCCTTTCTTGGGATTCAAACGGCAGTGATAGCAAGGCTTAAAATACACAGGGGTTTCAGAAGTGGAAATGGCAGTTTTAACAGCTGATCGAGGACCTGAGGGCGTAGAGTTGCATAGACGACACGCTATCTGAAATGCTGCTCATTATCCCAGCCTCTACTTGTCAAACCCCCAGGTGACCCCAGGCAGTCCTGGTGGAGTCCACTGAAACACTGTGAAGATGGGGGAAAGAAAGAATGACGGGTACTAATCCAGTTGGTCACGAATTCCTAAATTACTATGAACTATAATCACACCAAGAACAATTTGATCATACAAAATCACACTCTAAATACTCTCAACCTTCATTTCACTTCATGTACAGCTCTTCTTTTGTGGCAAAAAAGCAGTCAAATGTCATTAACCCTGTAACTGTCTACATTCAGAACCTGATTCATAACCACTCATCCTGGACTATATAATCTTCAGTTATGTAACGCAGATCTAGGACTACTGCCAGTTGGGGACTGATCCTCTAACTGTGGGAATGAAGAAGAGAGGGAAAGATGCTCTGCGGTTACCCAGCTCAGATGACGGTGACCTCCCTGGACTTCCTCTTCACACTGTCGAGGCGTCCAAGTGTGCGGGAGGCGGTGGCTTTGCGGAGGGCCCCCATGGAGCTGGGGCCGCCGGAGGCATGTCCCTCTCTCTGCAGGCTCTTCAGCAGCTCCATCAGCTCCCTCTTCTCCAGCTCAGCCTGCTCCAGCTCCTGTCTGTGCAGACGCTCTGCCCCCATGAGCGTCCGGACATCTGACATCACCCGGGACAGCTTGCTCTGTCGCACAGAGAGGGACACCGTCACCCCTCCCCCCACAGACAGACACACACAGGTCTGACATCACTCAGGACAGCTGACTCTACTGCACACAGACAGACACCCTCACAACCTCACACAGACAGACACACACAGGTCTGACATCACCCACCACAGCTGACTCTACTGCACACAGACAGACACACACTTTCAAACAGCACACATTTCAAACATACACCTCTATGTGCCACATCAGGTCATGTTTATATTCTAATGTAATTATTTAAACATGAGGGAATGACTATAGCCTATTACAATTCCCAACATGGAACAAAACTACTAAGACAAGTATATATCAGTATAGACAAGCACACCATTTATTTGTTTCAAGTAAGTTGTGTAATCCCCCTATTGTCGACAACCTGTAATGGTTACTTATAAAGATCTTGCCCTCTCTATTTCCTAAGGCTGATAATATATTGTGTCCTAAAAGCACCTTTTTGCCATTGCTTTTATCACTTAACTCCAAGCAACAGATGCAAAATGTTCACGTCTCTATACTGTATGTTGCCACCACTCTGACACTGTTTCCAACCAGAAAACTGAAGTGCGGAACACGAAGCCAGGTCTGGCAGCTGTTCCATGTCTGCCTACCTTCAGCTCTTCAATTTCGTTTTTCAGCAGGCTCTCTTTCTGCACCATGTGTCTCCTCTGGGAGTCCAGCCTAGATTCCATCTCATGTCTCACCTCCTCGACTTTACAAATCATCTCAGACCTAGAAGAAACCAGGCAGACTGCCCGATTACCACTCTGCCATGTTTACCTTACGTACTGCGGCAACGATTAACACCATTAACGGATCAAAATGTTTGGTGATGTTCAGTCAGAGCCGTTAGACGTGTTTATTCCAATCCAACGCTGTCTTTCATCTATTAAAACAAACCCTGAAAACACTGTGACAGAACAGAAATCAGGTGTCTGCTAACTAGATATCAGAGCAGCATATTTGACAACGGACTTCGGGGAACAGAGTGATGTGAAAGTGGGGCCCTCATCACAGAAGAGAAGAAACAACAAAACAGAGTGATCAGCAAAAAGATTTACGAATATTAAGAAATTGAAAAAGATTAATTACAAGGCTACATTTACAGAACAAATGGGAAACCTCAACAGTGTACAAAACTATTTAATATCATTGTGTTTTTAAATCTGTCAATTACATTTCACATTAAAAATATTCATTCATATAATAGAACGGTAGGAACACTCACCACCAGAGAAAGTATAATTCTATGAATAAAGAGAAACTGTTTGCAAAATATAGTTACATTTTAAAAATGTGGTCTGTTCTCTTAAGCTTTCAAGATTGCTATACTTGATCATGTTAGCAATCACAAAACAATGACTTTTTAAATGTCTTTGTCAAAGCTTTAGAGATTGAAGACCAGCTGCATGTAGCTACACGTCTGTACTAAGAAATGTAAGAAAGAACTGAATAAACAGAGGGTACCCTACGCAGACTGGTTTCTGGAGTAGGAGTCCCAACAGGGTGCCCGGTGTATTTGTTAGTGTTCGGTTTCTCTCTATAACCACAGTGCATCTACAGATGTGGTAGCGCTGTGCCTAAACATCTTTTCAACCCTCAAACAAGTCATCTCCAAACTTAACACAAAAATGGTTTGATTTGTAGAATTTGCAGGGCTTGTTTTCAAATATTTTGGTGTTCGTTCCAAGGCATCGGTAAGGTATCTCAGATGACAGCGGCGTGTCTGCGCCTACAAGCTGTTAAGTGTACTACACAGACGGATTTGCTGATTGTAGTGTACCTACAGAGCTTCAGTACACTGTCACTTCAACCTACTGGTACAGCCTTTAGTAACTGGTACTCAGTAGGAATATATACAGTAGAAGTGGAATGTGACAATTCATTTTTCATTAAAATTAACTGTATGCCTAAACTAACTGTACGCCAACAGAGTTAAAAAACAAATAGCCGTATAACGGTTGTCTGATTTATTATTGTAACTGAGTCGTTTGTTCAGTTCCAGCATTATTCAGGCGTGAATAAGAGGAGATGAAGTACTTTACTCCAAAATATTTTGAACACTTTCTCCTATAAGACAGACGGGGGGGGGGGATTCAGATTCGGGTTCGAGCGACACGCGCGGCGGATTCACCCCGCAGCCCGCGCCCGCGCCCGCGCCCGCGCCGCCCCTCGGCGTCCCGCACCTGAGCAGCTCCAGCTCTGTGCGCAGCTCGGCCACGCAGCTGTGCGGCGCGTCGTCGGAAGTGAGGACGGTGTAGCCGCAGCCGTTGGGGCACTCCCTGCTCCGGTACTCGCACACAGACAGGTGGGCCTCCAGGCTCCGCCTCTCCACCTGCATCGGACAACCTGCTCGCAGAGCAGGGGGGGTAGAGACTGGGACATCCACCACACAAATTCCCCAAATCCGTGCTCGTTCCTCGCCTCGCTTTCACCGCACCGTTTGCATGCTTTATTAGCTGGCTTCTGAGAAAAACAAAGTCAGTAACTCTCCCCAGAAGCTGTGCCTTTTTGTTTTTACTTTTGTCATAGCTTGCAACCTGATTTTCCTCAGCTTAAATCTGATATAAAAGAAGAGAAGGAATTTCAGAAGGGGTACTGCAAAGAGCTGTTATACCAGTGAGCTCAGCTCCGGTTTGTTTAAAAAAAAAGAGAAAATGGGACAATTAAAGCAAATATAGTTTCCTTTTGATGGTGTTTGTATTAGCTCTGACTTTTTTCAAAAGCAATGTGCAGGCTGGAACAAAGAAGGGTCATAACTGATACACTGAAGAAGGTACTGCACAAATGCAAGGTACTAATGAGCAAAAACTGATGAACAGCGACCCCTCCTGGAGGCCTTGAACTAGTACCGTTTCATCTCTACAGTGAGACACACAAAAACACAAGCACCACACAGCACACTGCATTTCACACATCGCCTCTAATTGGTCCAAATACCAAAGAAATAAGACCTTATCTGCAAATCGCCATTAAATACATACCACATCGGTAACACAAGTACACTCCACCTGGCAAGAACAGTTCACAGAAGACATTAATTGGTTTATATTGTTCACTATATTGTTTTGTTTTCAGAAATAAACAACAAAATAAAACTGGCCAACTAAAAATGCTGAATTAACAACGTCAGGGATACTATTACATTCAAAGGCGTAAAAACATTTTTGCTAGATGCAATTATTCATTTAAGTTGTCCATACTGCTTCCAACAGGCTTTCGAGTGGAAGCAGGGATCATTTTTCATGGTACCCTGTTTGTAGTCAGTATCCCGGCATTGAGGGATTAGACACAGGAGATCAATGCTCTTGCCTGCAGCTCTTATCATGCTTGCCAGGTGTTCAGCTCTGGGGGAACAAGGGACCAATCATAACCCCCTGGTGCAATTAATTCCCACCAGTGAGGTACAATTCTAAAGCATCTAAAAGCAGGAAATTTAACTCGTCTCTTAAGCTCATTGATTCCGAGTCATCTGAACCTGACCACAATACAGATAAAGTGGAAAGAACAGGATTCAGCAGTTATACTTCACCAGCGGACTAAAATAACATCTTCCTGGCTAAATTTAGACTCCATCATTACTGTGTGGATTACTTGGTTTGCTTATACTTTTTGTCTTTTCCCTCGTAGTCTTACTAACATCTGTCAGATGAAAGAAAAAAAACATTCAGTGATAAATAGGCCTGTAGTGATGAGCTAAATACCGTTAAGTGATGATTGCTTTGATTCACACGGAGAAAAGACAAAATGACGTTTTTGTTTTACTCTAGGCTTTATTGAGTCAATTTGATGGCGTTTTTCACACTTTACCTCTGTGTACTGCACACTGCATGCACTTTTTGTACAGTGCTTTGGTCTCCTATTGAATGAGATCTGCCTCTGATCTCCACCGAATGGGTTCTCTAATGTACAGCACAGGATTTATTATTTTGTACAGCATTACACTGAGCATCTTAAATAACTGTTTTTAAAAGCACGTCATAACAATTCCTTCTTTGTTTCCACGTGCATTATGGTTTAGCAGGTAAACAAAACGCAAGTTCCCATGGGATTAACTTAATACCTAAAGCGGGCTCGTCGGTACACTGATTTTGAAGAGTATTAAGGGCGGATGCCGTTTCTGAAAGCACAGCGCTTACCCGTGTTTGTACAGGCAACCTGGCTGTACTCGCACTCTCTCTCGTGCCTGTCGACAGACTCCAGAGAGCACACCATCTCGCAGCCGTGCTCCCTGTTCCGGCAGCGGATCTGCAGCCGGCTCAGGTCGTTGCGCATGTACCTGCGGAGGAGACAGCGCTGGGACAGGAGTCCACTGGTCTCCGCCTCGCCTATTTTTCCCCTTCCTCCCCCTTGTGGTTGTTTTTTTTTTTCTTTTGGAATGCAATCACAACTAAATGCAATGTCAATCCATCTTCTTTATTACTACTGTACTATTATTATTATGGGATACACTGATGCTACTGCTATGACGAATAATACTATACTATTAATATAATAATATCTAGACAGATAAATATAGTATAATATCAAATAACATAATATCATATCAGATATAATATGATATGTTATGATGATATCATATCATATCCAGATGAATAATGTCTGTGCGGTTACCTGAACAAGGGCCGCAGCAGGGAGGCGTCGAGGGCCTGCCTGTCTTCGGGGCAGGTGTGGTGGTGGACCAGCCAGCCGTGAATGCAGGAGCTGCAGAAGGCGTGCTCGCAGGGCGCCTGCAGGGGGTCCTCCAGCACATCGCGGCACACGCAGCACAGCAGGCCCTCGTTCACGTAGCCCACAAACCGCTCGAGGTCATAACCCATCTGGCACGCCCACTGAGACACGGACACACGGGGAAAGAAATCCCCCTCATCAGGTAGACGATCTTCTTCAAAAAACAAACTCTCATGCGTGTTGTTTCTTTTTCATTGACCTCAGGGGTGGCTGGTAGCATTATCGTCAGAAAAACAGGCTCCCTGATGCAGATTAATCAATTTACTACTGGCCAACAAACCGCAAATTGGAGTCAAAACATAACTATTACCACATCAACGAGGAAACATAAAAGATACCTGGCTGTAGAGTATATAAGGATAATAAGCATGCATCACAGGGAAAACAAGAATGCGAAGTCTCAAGACTCCATGACTTGCACCATCAAACCTGCAGGATTAAAATTGAACTGAGATTGCTTTAAGGCCCATAATTCTCATTTCAAAAAGCCAGTTACAAACATCAGCATTAAGGCTTAAAGAGCAAGAGGTAATAGCTGGCGAGCAGCTACAGACTGCAGTTGTACTGCACGTCGCCTATTGAGTTTCAAGGCACAGCATACATCTTTAATTACATTCTGCTGTGGACACAGACCTCGAGAATCACACTGCAGACATCACGACAACGAACGGCAGGATACAGGA